TGCAGCTGAGTGAGATATCGGGTCATCTCACGTCATGTCACCTTTGATGCAGCTGAGTGAGATATCAGGTCATCTCACGTCATGTCACCTTTGATACAGCTGAGTAAGATATCGGGTCATCCCATGTCATGTCACCTTTGATACAGTCGTTGATAGTTTAAATCGTCACAGCTGTCCTGGGTTGTACTTGTAATTATCTTGGCTTGAAAGTTAAACAAGACACACAGGTACTGTTCTCTTCACTCGTTGTTCCTTGGTTTAATGTAACCACACGTGCTGATTTAATAGTTATATTGGGTAGTAATGTCTGTACAATTATTTTGTATTGACAGACTAATGAGCATTAGCTATTGGCTTGTAATTAGCTGATATACGTATTTAGAGAGAGGTACAGCCCGGAGAGCTGGTCTCACTTTAGGGCATCGTGTCGGGCTGTGAACTGGGCTGAACTCTCTTGAGTCTGGTGACTGGTGGTTGGACGGTAACCACACTTCAACAGGTCATTAACTAAACAGCCTACCACACACTGAGGGTTGAGTCTGTAGTTTAATGGGCTGTACACCCGAGGAGGTGTGACAGAACAAATGTTTATGGGCTGTACACCCTAGAAGGTGTGACAGAACAAATGTTTATGGGCTGTACACCCGAGGAGGTGTGACAGAACAAATGTTTATGGGCTGTACACCCTAGGAGGTGTGACAGAACAAATGTTTATGGGCTGTACACCCTAGAAGGTGTGACAGAACAAATGTTTATGGGCTGTACATCCTAGGAGGTGTGACAGAACAAATGTTTATGGGCTGTACACCCGAGGAGGTGTGACAGAACAAATGTTTATGGGCTGTACATCCTAGGAGGTGTGACAGAACAAATGTTTATGGGCTGTACACCCTAGGAGGCGTGACAGAACACATGCTTATTTAGTTGTATGCTCAATAGTCTGGGTGATAGAATATATAAAATGAATATACGTCCTTAGCTCATAATATTTATATAATATAAATGTAACAGAGGCTAATACAATATACTGAACTGTATACCTATACAGTATTGTTTATATACATGGTGAACTGTATACCTGTATTGGCTATATACATGCTGAACTGTATACCTACATTGTCTATATGCAGGTTGAACCAATTGTAAACTTATATGATAAGTTTACATAATAAATATATATCCATCTATCTAAAGTGGTCTAGCGTATGTAAATATTTTGATCTTTTCCCTGATAATGTTGTTTCATCACAGGTGTTACTCTGTTGTAGTGTGAGCCAGTGTGAGGTGGAGGTCAATATTAAACTGAGGTGTTTAGCTGTGGCTCTGGAAGATTGACAATTTGTCTTATTTTAATTATAAACCAGAACACCTTTATTTCTCACTGTTTACCCAGGTATAATTTGGCTAAATTTATCTTAAATTTACCTGGACTTAGAATGCCATCACAATATGATTTGAAATTAAAGAACAAAATTATATCCTTTTGTGTTTTTAAGGACTTTAGAATTAATAAGATTTAGTGAAACTGTTGAACCATTCAGGTACTTTACATATATTTACCATTTAGGTTAAACTAAACCGTAAATACATTTTATTGTTCGTTAAGGAATTCTATCTCATTAGTTCGGTGTCATTTAATGTTGCCGTAAAATCTGTTGAGTGACTTAAGCGGCAGTTATTCTGTTATAGTCATGCCAGTTAATGTTGTTTTAGGAGATACAGTTTATTGTGTAGTGATCTCCGTTAAAACAAACTATTTTTATTGTCCAAATTTGTCGCGCTGGGATATGAAGGTGTGCGTGGTGGGAAAGGCTTTGGAATAAGGAATACTGAAGGTGAAAGAACACTTGAGTTTGGGGATGGAATGTAACATGTGTTTAAGAATAGGGCAAGTAGGCTGACCATGTAGGCCTAAGGCAGGTGGCACAGAAACCCAGATTGGCTACATTTTGGTCAGGAAATTAGAACAGGTTGCTTGTGTGTGTGTGTGTGTGTTACTTAAAGATGGAGGGAGAGGAAGAAGGTGGATGTTCCAAGAAGGAGAGTGTGGGAATTGTGAAGGAACTGAATGTAAAGGAAGCATTTTCTTGTGAGTTGAGAGGCTAGGAAGCAGCCAGTGAGGGGCAGTATACCAAGACGCTGGGCCATAATAAATGATGTTCCGTTGAGTGTGGTTGATAAGATTTGTGGCGGGAATTATGAAGTGGAAAGAAAGATAAAAAGAGAAAAGAAGATGTGTGAGACGTGGAAGATGGTTGGCAACAGAGAGAAGTACAGTACCTGGAGGCTAAACTGAGATGGTTCAGGAGAGAAAGGAGGAAACTAACTGGGTCAAGAGATACACGAATGAATGTGGAGTGGAGGGGAGTTACAGGTAGGCAAAGAATGACATGAGGATAGGTTGTAAAGAAATGTCGGTGCTACTATAGTACCTGAGTATGTTTGTTGGTTGGAATGATGAGGAACAATCTGAACAGAAAACAAATGAATACAGGAATTGAACACAAAAAATTTAGGAATTGTCGAGTAATATCAAAATATTCGGAACTCAGTTAATTCGTATTTTCAGTAATTTGAGTGACGCAGAGTCTCTTTTGTCAAATCAATGAGGGTATAGTGCCGTTTGTGGTCCACCGAATTACTGAAAATACAAATTAACCGAGTTCCGAATATTTTGACATTATTCGACACTTTCTCAATCTTTTTGTTCAATTATTCGTTCGTTTTCTGTTCAGATTGTTCCTCATTATTCCAACCAACAAACATACTCAGTTACCATGCCTTGACTGCCACACAAAATAATCTGATTTATAATTACTGTGCAAACAAATATTTTTTAAGTGCACAAACAGTAATAATAAAGTAAATAATACAGTAATAAATAACTGTAAGACTTACTGCACATTGTGAGGTGAACTGATAATATGTGGATGATATTCAGAAAGTGTAATAGTATTGAGGATCAGGTCTGGGGTCCACTGCTCTCATCAAGAAGATTAATCCCCAACCTACCTAACTCAGGAGACTTTTCCTTTGTTCTAGGTATTTCTCCCTTGTTTTGTTGTGTTAGTTGGCAGAAGAGGGACCTATAGTGTGTTTTATCCCAGCTGAGAAGAGATACGTAATTTGTGTATTATTGTGGGTAAAAATAAGTATATATTAAATGCGTCCTCCGAAAGCGTCAATTTGCCACCAGAGTTTAACAGTTAACTCTTGTATAATATTTCTGATAAACTTCCTACATGTTTATGTTTGATATAATTAATGTATGAATCTTTATATAATTTAGCTAAATGTCTTTCTCGTCAGAAATGGTCATTATGAATAAACTCGTTTAGAAATACATCATTACTTCAGGAGGAAATCGGACAGATTTGCAACAGCCAATCAGGTGTAACTCTTGAGGAGGGGGCGGGGCATCTCTTCTCATCTGATAAAAAATGCACTATAGTCAAATCAGCTCCAAAATTTCATCTTATATTTCTCCAATGAGGGTTTTTACTTCATTTACCAGTGTGGCCGTTACACTTATGGAATATCATCTACGATCTCACCTCTCATTATTTATTACTGTATTATTTACTTTATTATTGTAAGTACATTTTATAACTATTTATATTTGCACAATAATTATAAATATAATATTGTATATGACAGCCAAGGCAACTTTTTGAACCACTCAATTATTTCATATTCATTCCAAATTCAAATCGTTTAATTAATTTTTTGAGAAACATATGAATTAAACCAAAGTACGAATTACAGCGATCCTATTCAATGAAAGTCCAAAAATTCATTGTTTAAAAATATTCTAAGTCCAAAAATTCATCATGTAAAATATTATAAGTCCAAAAATTATTAAAAGTCCAAAAATTCATCTTTAAAAATATTCTAAGTCCAAAAATTCATCATTTAAAATATTATAAGTCCAAAAATTATTATAAGTCCAAAAATTCATCTTTAAAAATATTCTAAATCTAAAAATTCATCGTTTAAAATATTCTAAGTCCAAAAATTCATCGTTTAAAATATTCTAAGTCCAAAAATTCATCGTTTAAAGTATTCTAAGTCCAAAAATTCATCGTTTAAGATATTCTAAGTCCAAAAATTCATCGTTTAAGATATTCTAAGTCCAAAAATTCGTTTAAAATATTCTAAGTCCAAAAATTCATCGTTTAAAGTATTATAAGTCCAAAAATTCATTGTTTAAAAATATTCTAAGTCCAAAAATGGCCAAAATTATTCCTGGGCAAATTTTGAGTAATAATAAATTTTTGTGTGGTTTTAGAGGTAAAACATTTGTGCCATTCTTACGAGCTCCAGCTTGGCATCTGTGTATTATAAGGCATAACGGACTACCTGGACGTGGGGAGAGTAACTCACTGGGCCCCTACTGAGTTACTCTTCCCACGGCCAGGTAGTCCGTTATGCTTGTATTTTTTTATATTATTGGTGAATGATAATTTGAAGGCCATCCTCCGGAGACTCTTCCGATTATCGTTTACCAAATTTTTTCAACGTTAGTCCTGGCAATGGCAAACTCAAAAAACACTTAAGGGTAAAAATAGGGCAATTTTTCGGCCATTTTTTGCTCAAATTTCGCTATTTTTGGCCATTTTTCCATAAAAAATGCCAATTTTTAGCTATTTTTCTGTATTTTTAGCCATTTTCTTCAGGTTTTTAGGTTATTTTAGTTATTTTTATATATTTTTATATATTTTATATATATATATATTTTTTAATTTATATATTTTTTTTTATATATATATTTTATTTATATATTTTTTTTATTTTTTTATATTTTATTTTTTTATTTATATATATTTTTTATATTTTATATATATATACTGTATATTTATATATATATATTATTTATATATTGTTTATTTTTCAAGTTATATATATTTTTCATTTGTATATTATATTTGTATATAATGAATTAGATATTTTTTTCAAGTTGAAAATATTGTAAATGCTGGAAAAGGTTAATAAAGACGTAATGACATTTAGACATTTATTAATGGAAACTTAATGGCTCTATAAATTTGCAGTCCAGGGGAGCAGCACACGCAGAGCAGAGCCGTCCAGGGCAGCTGCACACACAGAGCAGAACCGTCCACGGTAGCAGCATGTACAGAGCAGAGCCGTCCAGGGGAGCAGCAAGCACAGAGCAGAGCCATCCAGGGGAGCAGCAAGCACAGAGCAGAGCCGTCCAGGGGAGCAGCAAGTACAGAGCAGAGCCGTCCAGGGCAGCAAGCACAGAGCAGAGCCGTCCAGGGCAGCAAGCACAGAGCAAAGTCGTATAGGGAAGTCCAAGGCAGTAGCCAGTAAGCACAGTCTAGGGCAGCACGGCACTCCAGTGTTCAGAACAACATTTCTGTACAAAATAAAATGTAAAATTAATATTCAAATTTTTTAACCATAAAAATGTTTTAAATATAGTAATGACAAAATGAACTGTAGTGTTTTAGACAAAATTCCTTAACACTTGACAGAACCAAATTTATAAACAACAGAAAAGTAAGAATTTTTGTTAATTTGAATTTTTCACCAAATGATCCTTGAGAACAAGTGTCTAGGGAATATTATCAGTAACTGTACAGCAACTTAACCTAAGTGTACAAGTTATGGTTCATATTAACTAAACTATAAAAACCAAAAACCTTTCATTACAAAACTTACCCACAAGTGAGTTTAGTTTAACCATAATAGTTATTGATGCTTAACTACAATATTTCCTGTATCTTTGGTTCATAGTTGTGTTAATATATTTTAAATGTTTTCTTTCAATGACTTGACCCAGAACTTATTGATTTGTGATGAATATTTTTACTTTCCACTAACTTTACGTCAAAGAATTCCTCGAGTGGGTCAGTCACATGTCTGGTACAGTATTACAAGTGAATGTTGCTAAGAGTACTTTATTATTTACTAAACATACTCATCTTGTAGGTAACTTTATGTACTTTACTGAATTAATTAAAGTCAAGCATAAACATGACCAATAATTATTTCTGGTGTTATAAATTTGATGTATTAAACGATTGGTTGAGAAGTTATAAGTAGTTACGGCCAGAGTCCAGTTTTGGGGCTTTTAACTTTGGTCAATTGTTATGATATTCCTGTCATCAATAAAGGATCATAGGTACAGTCAGGATCAAAAGTGTTGAACACTTGGCAATATCTGTCATCTACATGAGTTATATGATTGGGATATACTGTACTAATAACACAACAGTACTATCATATGCCTGAACCACAAAATAGGATTAAACTACAGTGAGTTCTGCTATAACGCGTGTTTTGATAACGCGAATTTGCTCTAACGCGATTTATGAATTCGGAACAATATTTGTATAACGCGATCGCTTGTTTGCTATAACGCGATTTTTGCTTACTATTTCTCCAATTTTGTGGTATTAACTGTGAATATGGTAAAGAAGAATATCTCCAAAAAGCATTCTGATGATAGAATTCCCGGTGATTATCGTAAAAGAAACGATATAACACTTGAAGAGAAGCTTGATGTTATCAACCTCAAAATCACCCTTCTCCCCATCAAGTTACATTCATATTTTTTCAAGGTAAAGTGTTAAATTTACTGTATGATTTCATTATTAGATATGAATGTAACATTTATTTAGACTGTGCTATCCTTTGTGTTAGGCTAACTACTAAATTTTTTTCGATTTCGAGTAATCTGCACCTAACCCTATTTTCTCCATAAGCCCTGTTATTTCTATTACGCGATTTTCTATAACACGATATTTTACAAGAACACAATTATCGCTAAGAGAAAGAGAACTACCTGTACTATACCAAAGATCTTCGGTACTTACATGCCAAATACTGTCACGTGTTCAGCACTTTTGACCAAGACTGTACATCAATTCTAGCCCCACAATCCCTTCAATATTCTCAACCCTTTAAACATTTTCTCTTGTATATAAATTTAAGTATAATTTCTCCATTACTTTCTATTTTGTCTTGACATTTATAGCACCAAGAAATCTAGTATGGTCATTGAATATCCCAGAGCAATTTGTTTGTCTTTGGTTTTAAGGATAAACTGGCAGAGAAATTCCAGTCTGAGTGTTGGAAAAGTTCATTTTGACACAGGCCGATAAAGTAAACTTCACTCCCCTGTAAGTGATCATTCCGAGGCTATTTTATATGTAATATGTTTTTTGTATATTTTTACATCAACAGAACTCATTATATTCCTTACCTGAGGTAGAGAGGAGGAGTGAAAGGATGGTTCTGGGCTGTATCTTTGCATCGGCTTCCTTTAGTTGTGTTGTGAATCACTAGCCATCCTGATATTGGAGGAGAGAAGCCTAGTACAGCAGTACAAGTGAGGCAAGATGTGTGGTACAGCAGAGTGCACACCTCTCCTTGCCAAGGTCCAGAACCTACTGGAAGTAAAGTCAAGTTATTACCTATAAAAGGTTTCAAGTAAAATATTTTCACAATACTAATTTATCCTAATACAGTATTGTATAACATGACCCTAAACTGACGGTTTTATCCTCTATGGAAGTACCACATTAAACCACTTAATCTAGTACAGTAATTGAAGAACAATCAAATACATTAGTGATGCACCGTTAATAACCAGATTCAAAACTCCCAATCTGCCGCCAGATTTAGAGTTAATGCTATAATTTAGGTCTATTTTATCAAGCAGGTAAAGCAGTTAAGTCACTATATAGTCTCGCCACCAAAGCCAGACTATAAACAAAGTATCGGCCAAATACAGTACAGTATTTAAATGAAACAATTTCCTCTGGTGGTAAAGAAACCCGTCCACAAATACATCAACTTTAGTGGGTAATAGTATTACAGAAATCTTGAAGCTGCAATATTAAGAACAGCTGGGTTTTATATTTCATAATTTTTGCAGGATTTAAGTCTACTGTAGTATAGTATATTGGTAAATAAAATAAGTAATGTGCTTTAACAAGGCTTCCTCGTCAGCGACAGTCTTTACCGGATTATTTTCTCTTCAGAATAAATAAGAGCTACTTTGTCTGGCATAATATATTTATTACCGGTACTGTATAATGAAGTGTTGTACAAAGACCTGCACAGACACTGCCATGTTATCCATCACAACTACAAGACAATGATCAGCATCCGAGAGTGACATTACCATAATAAGTGAACAGACTAACTGGTTTCCGTAATTACTGTATTTTGCTGGTAATAAAAATGTTACCAATTAATTTCTCAACCCAAAATAGACTGCAAAATGGCATCAGCTAATACTTTGTTTACCAATACCTGTACAGATTATTCCACAAAATATGGATATTTGTAATTTATCAATTAATTGGTGCATCCCTAATATTGTACAGTACTAATACTTGATTGATACATGTACTTAAAAGAGTTAACTAGACACGGCAGTCCATGGGTTACAATTACAGTATAGTACTGTCAAGTTTAGTGAAGAAACCACAATGAGTTACCCTGGACTGGAGCAGTGCAGCAAGTCGGTTCACCAGAAAACTCTTAGGTCATTTGTTGGATCCTCCATCTTTAAGTTATCATCCTGGAATGAATAATTGTTACAACTGTACAAATAAACAAATAGTATACCTACAGTACACTACTATTATACAGCACAGTACATTAATGCAGGTATCCCCCAATATACAATACATATGCCTGATAAACAATAGTTTCAACAAATGTCTACACTACACATTAGCAGACAATGAATAAGTCCCATTTTGTCAACACTTATCTGTATATGAATGTAAAGATTTTTCCCTCACAGGAACATAACCCCCAATATATAAATTACTTCCACTTAATGAACACCTTACCAGGAATAAAACGGTTGTATATAAGGGACACCTGTTAACTAGTTTACTGAATAAACGAAGCATTACACTGCATAACTTAACATGATAGTGGAGAAAAAAGCAATGTTATGCAACCTTACTTTTACTGTAGCTCTAAGGGCCAATTGCAAGAACGGTTGTGGGGTGTACGACGCCATTTACGATGACCTTCTTGCCCTGGTCTTTTTCAGCAATATCACCTTTAACACATGGAATTCTGCACTTTTCGAAGCTTTGGAGGAGTCTCGAAACAAGTTTCCTAGTGGGAATTATTAGCTAGTGCTGTACTCAAAATTAGGAAACTTCGAGAACTCTCCAGAGCTTCAAAAGGGTGGTATTCCTGAAACCAGATCAGGGCAAGAAGGTCATCGTAAACGGCGTCGTACACCCTACAACTGTTCTTGCAACTGGCCCTAACTATTACTGTAGTAAGATCATTGGTAACCTTGGATACAGTATTACAAGCATTATGTAGTCATCCCCAGATTATACTGGTTAACTGCCCCCAGTATGTTTTATAGTACTTGATTATTGATGAACATTATGCAAGGTAGCCATTAGTGAAAGAAAAGGTTTTATTACATTCAAGA